AAGGGCATGCACCCAAAGTTGCTCAATTTTTGTAATTGATTATTATATTTTTCTTTTCTTTTATAATTCTTAAAAGTATTATAGAAGTTAGGATTATAAGATTCGCACTCAAAAATTTTCAACTTTATATATATATATATATATTAAAAAAATAGTTGACCAAGTCTTGATACAAAAGTTTTGTTCAGTTATATAGGATGCCAACAAAAAAATATAAATGACTGTATACGAAAAGAAATATATAAATTTCATATAAAAGATTTTGAATAAAAATTCTCGAACAGAAAAAATATTATAATATTAAAACTACAATAGTTTGTGATTATAAGACATTATATGGATTTTAAGGTTTTATCTCACAATAATTATAATTCTTATTATCTTCTTATAGGGTTATTTAAAGAAAAAATCCAATATTATATAAGGAATTTTATTTAATATAAGTTTTTACTTGCAGTCAAAAGTTAACAAAAAAAATACAATTTTATACAAATTTGATATGTAACAAGACCTATACCATGAGAAGTCTGTCTCATATTTTAGTTTAACTTGAGAAGCTCCACATCTACTGCAAATCTTTCTTTTCTCTCAATATACTATATACCAAAAATATATCATACAACGAAATTTTAGGATTTACCATATCCTTAACAGATTCTTTGGAGGATTAAAATATTTATATTGAGGTTATGTCTCATTACACCACAAAGGTTTCTATTTTTTTCTCATATAGATTATATATATAATATAAAAGGAAAAAGTAACACACATTTTAAAACAAAAGTTTTGACACCCTCTAAAACTAAAAGAGAAATTGACTCCACCTTTTAATAAAATATTTAATAATAAAAAATTTAAAATTCAAAATTTTCACTTACAAAAATCATATAATTTCTAAATTTGATATCCAAAAATAAATTCTCTAACTCCACTCATGTATAAACATATATTACATTGTAAACACTCTATTAAATGGTCTTAGTAGTAAAATGGAACTTTATTTTTCCTAAAAGATCCAAGTTCAAATAGCGTCTGTAGGATATATACGTTATCAATGACTATTTTTTTTACATTTATTATATTATAATTACTCCATACTATTAAAAATTATATAAATAAATAAGTTAGGGCAAATTGATCAACTTGGGCTATAATGTTTTCGTAATTAAATAATGTAATATTTAAATTTAGATTTAATTGTATTACATGTCTCCAAACTATAATTTTCAAATGAGTCCTTAAACTTTTAAATATTTCAATTTCATTCCTAAACCATGACTATCATTCTAAATTAGTACTCAAACTATTGAACATTTCAATTTCTTCCTCAAACTTTGGCCTTCATTATAAATTGGTTCTTAAATTTTTTGTCCATTCCAATTTCATCCCAAATTATACATATATACTAATCACATCCCTTTTTAACAAAATCATTATGCCAGGTTTAATTATTACATGTTTGAAAAAAAAATTTAGGTTAAACTATGGTTGAAACTAATTACATATTTGGATGAATTCAAGGGTGAAATTAGAATATTCAAAAGTTCAAGGACTAATTTAAAATTAAAGTCACAGTTTGGGGATGAAATTGGAATATCCAAAAGTCTAAGGATCAATTTAAAATAAAAGTTATATTTTGGGGACATATAATGAAATTAACTCCTAAATTTACACTATTTTAAATATAAAATAATTGATTAAGAAAAAAACAACCCAAAAGTTTGTTGCCATGTGTGAATTAATAAAGTTGGGTGTCGGCACAATGCCAAATCTTTGTCATTTTACCAAAAGGAAAAATAAGATCTCTGACTTCAACCATCAAGTCCCGCAATGCAATGCAGCACTCAATAATAATAATGCAAAGGACTTAATCTTCTCAGCCGACACTACCAACCCGAAACCCAACTGCTAACTGACAGAGAACGCTATATTTTTTTAAAAGTTAAAATTTTATATATTTTTATTAATAATTTATTTCAATATTTTATAAATTTATTTTCTTAAAATATTATAAATTCATTCTTTCATATAAAATTATATTTGTCTCTATCATGTACCACTACCACCCTTTGCCTCCCCATATTCGGATTTAAAAATTAGTTTCAGAGTTCAAGCACTACCTTATAATTTCTCATATATACTAATTATAATTATTATCATAGTTAAACTTCTTTTTAATTTAAAAATGCAACTTTCTATATAAATATAAAACTCTAATATCATAAATTGGAATGTAAAAAAATTAGCATATCTAACATATGCACATGATTCAGAGCAATATGGAAGGAGCATGTTTCATGTTGGTTTGTTTTACTATTAATTGAACGTGGTCCATGTTATATATATTTGTTGTCTTTTTGTTTATAACTCAAAATCAAGATAATATCAGTGTTCTCTCGTGGTGTATTATTTATCTATTTTCTATTTCGTCTTTGTTGATTGACGATAGCATTAGTTTTGATATTGGTTGTTGACCACCGATATTTTTATTGTCATTTTCTTTTCTTATATCACATCTTTATTTTTTTATTTTTTTATTTCAATAAGTTTGCATTGTATGACACGTTTTCATCTTCTTTTTTGAGATGTTTTTTTATACATTTTGACATGTTTTTTTGTCGTTTGACTTTTTTTTCTCATTTATTTTTTTCTAAGGGTTGATTCGATATCATCACGATCGATCAAGATGTCGTTTATATGATATCTTATTGATATTCTCTGCTTTGAACCCTCATATTAGATTTGGATATCCGATTTGCGTTCATGGATAACTTTTCGCGTCGCTTGAGTTTGATTTACGGTTTGTTGGTGATCTTTCAATAGCTTGATTCCCTATTCCCTTTTGTGGCCCATTTACTAATGTGACCAGATCTGTTATCTTCGTTCGAGTTTATTGGTTAGATTTTTAATATTTCCTTGTATGATTTTTATGTGATCTTAAGTTGTTAGTTTTTGTTTCAATGACTATAGGAAATTATCCTAATTATATGCTTAATTTATAATTATAATTATAAATCTTTATTGTAATTTGGAATGTTTCGTATTTTGAATAAAATTAGTGTCTTCTATAAAGAAAATAAAAACAAGATCTAAACCCATCAAATGCTCTTTGTGGTAAAACTAAAAATTATTCTTTCTAGAAGTCATGGTTTGAACAGTTGTGACTGCATGACCAATCATTTTGAAAAGAATTTCAGCAAAGTTGATTATTTGAAGTATTTTTAGATGGACAAAATTCACCAACATATATTATTCACATTTACCGACTGAAGTGGTAAACATAATAAAGTATGAACTTATCCATTCATAAACATATTCATTAAGGGGATAATGAGTAGATGCCCATGATTTTGTTGGTTTAATTATAGTGTTAAACACTTCAATTTCATCAAACCCATTAACACATGAATAATAATTATCAAGTTTATTGGGATGCAGGCAAACATCTCTCTCTCTCTGGCTTTTGAACTACTAATCCGTGTTGGTACGAACATGCGTACGTTTAGGCCATATTCACATGACTCAGTCGTAAATTTCAAGATATAAACAAACAAACAAGAAAAAGTCAATAATTTCAACTTATTCATCATCTTACTAAATTTCTTGTGGCATAACATAATGTGAATTAATAAGCAAAATCTCTTGTTTCTAAAAGTCTTCATCTTCCATGTCGATGGTTTTATCTTATGAAGATGAAACATAAAATGGTAAACTACACGTTTAGTATCTCAACTATTATTTTTGTTACCTCAAAATTTTTTTAATATCATACCTAATGTTTGGTTTTAGTTTCATTTTGGTCAATCACCATTAATTTTTTAACGGTGATACTGACATATCTTCGTAAGATATTATCATTCCATCAATGAAAAAAAACTCACGTCAACAGTTTTGTTAATTTTTTAACGATAACTAACTAAAATGAAACCAAAATATAACATTAAATATGATTTTAAAAAATAATAGTTGAGTGAAAAAAATAAAAAAAAATAGTTGAGGTATTAAACGGCTTAAAATACTAATTAATGACTATTTTAGGAATATTTAGTTACTTCTCTAAATTCCAATCGACAAACCCAATACATGAGTTCACACAAACACATGCACATGAAGATAACAAAAGGCAATTTTTTTCTATAAATGCATGGGAACCCCAAATATGTATTAAAAGATACTATTTTGCTGGCCAAACCCTACTATATATAATGATGATTATTGTTGAAAATATTCATTAATTAGCATGTTATGCTCTTAGTCCTATGCATGCACATGCATCATTTTCACAGTACTTCAAACATTACCTATAAGAAGTGAACTAAATATATAAAAACATTAGAAACATAGAGCCAAATATGTCCTTTCATTATAGATAGTTGAGATTTAATAAGTCGAGCCGTGTCAAAAAAAATCGAGTTAATAAGTTTTATTTTAGAAGTAGGATTTTATTTGAATTTTTTTGATTCAAATAGAGTTGTTCGGGTTTTATTTTAAATTTAATTATAAATATTTCTAATGTTATTGTAATAAATGATTCTAATTTAAACATATTTTTATAACCATACACAATATACCTATATATTTCTTTCATATTTTTTCATATGTCACATAGATATATCATGCAAAGTTGATATTTTTCACATCAAACTTTATTAGATTTTTTTTTACATCAAGTAAAGTAAATATTTTTTATTAAAAATCTAAAAGGAAAATACAAAGTAATAAATTTTCTAAGTACTCTCAATTATTTGAAAATAAACGTTCAATCACTCTTGCAGTCTAAGAACATCAACAATTCTTTTAACTGATGAGGTAAGTTTATTTATATAAGTTTGTTTCTGCAATAAAGTAAAGATTTTTAATATCAAATTAAGTAAAGAAATTGGAGACGTTATTTTGAAGAAGTTGGAGATATCTTTGGTGTACCAAAATCTAAAGGGGGGGTCCATCTCAGATGTATTGAACTTTTGGTTATTTAATAACACCCCACTTCTCCCCCTCTGATTCACTCTAAATCTTCATTTTCTTTTTGCCACTTCTCTTAACCATCTTCTTCTTCTTCAACCCCTATCTTTGCTCTTCTGAACTACATACATCAGCTCAAAGGGAAAAGTGAGCTTTTTGTGTTTGTCGATTGACAGTAAGTAATAAAGTTAAGAGTTAAGCGAGAAGCATGAAGGAGAGTACCGGGAGGAAGCAGGGAGCAGCATCGCCGTGTGCAGCATGCAAGCTCCTAAGGAGAAGGTGCGCCCAAGACTGTGTATTTGCTCCTTATTTTCCAGCTGATGAGCCCCAAAAGTTCGCCAATGTGCACAAGGTGTTCGGTGCTAGCAATGTCAACAAGATGCTTCAGGTGAGCTTGGAAATGTACTGCTTAATTAAGTATCTAAATATGCAGAGCCATACTTCTGAGGGAAATTTGGTTGCTCTAATGGAAGGGTATTGTGGAGTTTAGCAAAAGAAAGGGTAAACTATGTGTTTAGTAATACATTTATTCCCGTAGTTCTGTTTTGGTTTTTTAAAATTATATTAACGTTATGTTTTGGTCACCCGTTGTTAAAAAATAAACAGAGGTGCCGACGTGGTAATTTTTTTTAAATGATGATATGACATTACCTTATAGTAATACAATAAAATCATCATTAATTTTTTAACGACAAGTGACAAAAAATAACCAAAACGTAACGTTATATATGACTTAAATAATAATAATTGAGTGATCAAAATGGAATAACGAGAATAGATAAATGACTAAATACATAGTTTACCCTAAAGAATTTTTTAGGAGAAAAAGATCATTTTCTCCTCAAAGCAGTGAAGCATTTCCCTCACGGGAAGGCTAGCAAAGAGACAGAAATAAAATTTTATATTAGATAACGAACTTATAAAATTTTAATAAGATGATAGGAAATTTAAAAAAATTAAATTATATAAGAATTTGAAATTTTAAAAAATGTAACCGCTCCGTCAGCCTCTCCCGGTCCATCCCTATAAATCACTCTCATTGACATGGAGCAAATATGTTTTCCTGTTCATAATCTGAAGTTTTGGCACAAAATTGGTAAAGATGAATTCGTTGTGTTCAATAGTTGTTTCTCTAGATTTGGTTGGACAAAACTCAAAATCACTTGTTCAGCTGTTTGGTTTACACGTCTTTATACTCTCTTTTTTCAAGAAACATTTCACATAGGTTAAAACAAGGATATCTTCCTATACTACACATGGCTGCATTAGTAGCTATCATTTATTTTTTTACTCATTTTCGCTTCAATTTCTAAAGGTCGTTTGGGGATCACATGCAGATGTTTCCTAGTTGCTTTTTGCATAAAAAATGTTTGACCAACTCCTCTTTATGTCAAATAGAAATGTAATAATGCATATTAAACATACCATATTAATTATGTTAAAGATGGACATTAGTTGGATCCAGTCGGATATTTAACCGTCTCAATACCATAAAAATTGTTGTTCCTTTCTTTCCCCTTTTGGGCCGTTCAAGCTGACACGTGAGGTATCGAAATCGTAGGAGTTGCCGGTCCACCAACGAGGCGATGCGGTTAGCAGCATTGTATATGAGGCGAACGCCAGGATCCGTGATCCGGTTTACGGCTGCGTGGGAGCGATATCATCACTGCAGCAGCAGATAGACACCCTTCAGACCCAGTTGGCACTGGCACAGGCAGAGGTGGTGCACCTCCAGGCATCCTATCCGCATGGGTTCGGCACGACAAGCCCGAGTGATAGTGGGTCACCCCCATCAAAGCTCATGGGCTCACAAGGCATGCCCATTTTTGACATGGATTTGGTAATGGACCAGACTAGCCTGGGCGAGCCAATGTGGTCATGCTAGCTTAATCATGTATGTCTCCCAGGTTACATTTTTATTTAGTCATTTATTAGTAGAGAAGTTGGGTGGTGGCTATGGCGGCGGCTAGGTTTTAAGAGTCTTTGGTCATTAATCGTATAATGTACACATATAATTAATTTAAACTTCATATATAATGGATTGAAGCTAGCGTATGAATTTCTCCATCTTTGATATTGTTGGTTTACATGCAGATTTTCTTAGATGTTTTGTAAGAAAAATGTATTTATTCAGCTTAAAAGTATCATAAGTTGGTGTTTTTTTAAAACGAAAAATGGTTTCTTTTCCATCCAGTAATAGCAATGGATAACACAACTCACAAGCTTAAGATCTAAAAAGTTGAATAGTAAGAAAATGAAGTGCAAATTTTCCAAGAAAACCAAATGCAAATAAAGAAACAAAACTTAGTTCAGACGTCCATGCTTGAAAATGCAGCAGCAGACTTAACACAAATGGGATTTTCAGAGATTGTCCGTCTAGGCTCAATATCATTTTATTTTTCCTTTTTTTTTTTGGAAGTCTGAACTAAATTAAAAATAGTTCAAACTGCCTCTTTACTTTCTGTTGACGGCGACTCGAGTAGCATACTCGGTTTAGAACAATACATTACAGTCAAGACATGCGGCCATTGTAAGCAATGCTATAGATTCAAAATACATTTCTGCCAATCTTCTTAGTTTCCAAAGGGATCATTCTCTTAGCATTTCTGGAATTATTTCCACATCGGACATCAGAATTTAATGATCATATTGCATGATGCAAGCTCACTTCGAAAATATTCAATATTTACTGCCTCACAAAGCATTTCTTCTATGCTCTTTCTCTGCATAATTACTCTGACCCATTATTTGCCCTTCTTCTACGCTGTAATGGTTGTACTCATGACGCTTCTTCCCTTCGGGCTGCCTGTCTGATGGGCTTCCACCTTTTCTCTTCCGGCCATTCACCATGGGAGAAGCATCATCCAGCATTTCACCTTCTTCAGCAGCCTCGGTTTCGATCCCTTTAGATGAGTGTCCCTTTGTAACAAAGTGGTTCCCTCTTCTCATTTCGCAATGATCTTGATTCTCATTCCTAGACCAGTTTTGTCGATGTTCTCGCCTTATTTTCTCGTCTTCAACGGCCAATTCAACCCCATCCTCTAGCTCCCTCTCAATCAGATCATCTTCATCCATTACATCCTTTTTCTTTGTTGTTTCCCCACGAGACTTCCTCCTTTTCTCGAGTGCAGCCTTCAGCTTGTCTTTGTCAATTTTAATAGCTTCCTTGGGGGACTGCCCAACTGGTCCTTCCCTACTGTCCAAGTTTCGTCCAACCACATTGCTAACCTTACGTGATGCTCCATCATCCCTCCACTCACCTGTTTCTGCAATTTCATTTCTACCACTTCTTTCCTGGTCTTCCCCAGCAGTTCGCTCCATTCCAGACCTAGTTTTATTCAGAACTTCCCTCATGTTATCCTTGTGGGGCAACTGCTCATGATGTTGACTATCCTTGTTTTCAGTATCCATTTTGTGATCTGTAATGACACTGCCCATCTCCACACTCCCATTATCAGTACTTTGATTTTGAGTGGTTCTTGACGGCATTCCATGGCTGTCTGCAGACGAGTAGTCGGCCGTTGACCGTGATTGTTTTTCTTCACTTCCAGAAGGATGTTTTGCAAGAGCTCTATGAGATGTACCACCGCCAGCACTTCCTTCTAATTCACTACCCTGAGAAGGGGGTACTCTGTTTTGCTCATAAAGTTCCAGCATTTGATTGCTAACCTCTGCAGGATAAACCACAGTTGGTAAGTGGAAAAAGAAAAAAGAATGACACAGATTAGCACATCGATTGCACTCCACACAACATGTCAATAAGCAGACTGCCTACGAGACCAAAATAATTATATGAAACAGACAGTTATAATCATGTATTAATGAACCAAATTTAAGAGAAGCATCATCTTGCAAATGCTATAAGCAAGTAACACCAATCCCATTGGGCCCCCTAGTAACTGTCCAATTGTATTCATCACATCTTTTACAAAGTTATAGAGAGGACACCAACCCTCTAATTGGCGAGGGGTGACATCAAATTCTTGCCACCAAACCTTCTCACCATCCGATGGAAGCTTCACTTTGAGGAACTTGGCAGCAAGGAAAATGGCACCTGCCGCAATATGATGGGGCTTAAATTGCAGACAGAGCGACGTCCTCAGCCTGCAAGCCGCTTTGCAGTGTGTCAAAAGAGAACAGAAGGTAGAGATCATTTTAAACACTTGAAGGAACACCACTCAAACTTACCCATCATTCACAAAATTCCACGCAACTTGAGCAAGAGCATTCTGTGCAACCTTGAATTTCTTTATAGCCTCGACAAGTGGTTTATACGGGTGATGAAGATTGAGGTCAAAACCCAATGTGGCAAGTACAACCCTCTCTCCGGTTAAAATTAGCTCTTTTTGTTGCTCATACACTTCCTGCAAGATATAGATCAAAGTTTATGAGCAACTCTGTAACCACAGTTGTGCAAAGTGCAAACAAAACATTTAAATAAACAAGAAAAAGTTTAAAAACTAAAATAGCTAGGATATAAGAATGTTGTATTTTGACAAAATTTAAAGAAAAAGTGGGGTAGCAGCAAGATCTGTTACCAAGGACACAGCTATTGGAGAATAAAAGTGATTCTAAGCAAGAATTTTAAATTCAAGAGGAACAGAACAAATTCAGACAGAAGGAAAGAGAACACGCCACAATAACACCAAGTACCAGCAAGTAATACGTCTCTAACACATATTTTCCACTCATTGGCAATGTATTACTAGTGGTGTCAGTCTTATATGCCAGAAGAATAAGAAAACAAGCAAAAATGATAAATAAATAAATAAATAAAAACACGAGAGAGCAAAGAAAATTAGAAAAGTTATACAAATAGAAAGGCAAGTGTGAGGTCAGGGAACAATCTGACAAGTCAGAGCAAGAAACATGATAGGGAAGACAAGTTGCGACCCAAGCATCAGAATAAGGAATGCAAATAAACTGGTGAAAGAACAGTTAATTCAAAGAATACCTTCTGTTTGATCTTCTGGGATGCAGCGGAATCTTTTTTGTTTATTATCTCATAGGAAACAAGAATAACATCCTTTAACGGACGAGGTGTCTCTTCAACCTTCCCAGCAAGGAACATACACACAGTAGCAATAGTCTGTCAAGCAAGAAAATGAAGTTGAGCACAAAATGAGCATAAGAATGTCCCCAATCAATGCTGACAAAAACTTCCTTCAGAAATAAATGATAGGTAAAGTTAACAAAAACAATCATGTTTACAGCCTCTATTATAACACTTTTCAACCCTAAACCATTCTATCATGCAGACCAACATTCTCTAAACCAAAAGAAAAGCTAACAGAATAAAATTTCATAATGAAATGGAATCAAAATACACAAAGGCTGCCTTATTTCAGAAGGAAAATATTGGGTTTATACGAAGAAGTTTTAACAATATTGACCAGACTGAGAATAGTAACTCACTCTTCTATCATTCTTCGCATGTGATTGTCGAATAAAGAACCGATGACAAAATATTATTGCTGTGGCTATTGTTACCTGGGGCCTGTATCAGGTAATAACATCAGTCAAATTCATTCAATCAGAACCAACAAATATTGGCATGCTTATAAATACACTAAATGACAGAAGAGCAGATCTGTGTGTGATCAAAAAACAGAATGTCTAAACAACTTCACGCAAACATTGATAATGATGATAGATCAGACCTAGTCACAAATGAAAAGCATTGCTGGACTACCACTTATTGTTTGTTCAAGTAGAATACTTTTGCAGAAAGATAATGCCAGACCGGCAAAACCATTACATATATTCATATATAAGATACAGACAACATGCTAAAATTTATTAGCCATGGCTTTTGCTGAGTAACGAATGAGCATATCTGAACATGGAAAATAATCATAGAATGACCGACAGACAACACACGTTAATGAGCACCGATGTGCACATACAAGACCATCTCCTGTATCAGTCTGATTGCAAACAACTATGTATCAAGATTCTTTCACTATAGCAGGTCATAGAGATCCAAGAATAGAGTACCGAGAGGCATCCTATTCAGACCAAAAATGTTGCAAAAAGGATAATGATGACAATATGACCATTTTTCTGTTATAAAATTAAGATCAAGTAATTTCAAGTTCGACTTATCATGCAGATACATTCATTGAAACAATTAGGAAGTGGCAATAAATAATATCTCAATGTTTGAACTATGAGAGTATGAGATATAAGAATGTTAAATAAACAAAATTTAAGAGTTTCCTACCTAAGATAAACATTAGAAGTTATTTCCAATTTTCAAACTGTTGGAGTGAATTGAATACTTAAAATGATTACATATGGCTCAATATTTAAAAAAAAATATCCATTGAATTCTTTAAATATAACAGGCTGCAGTGATTGAAGGACTACTTAACAAAAGACATCCTATCAAAACCAGTAAATATTGCTTAAAATGGTCACTCATAGAAGCCATGAGCACTTTTGACACAAAAATGAAAAATATATTTTCAAAAGAACACTGCTACCATTTAGACCATTTCTTTGTCTTATAAAATTATGATAAAGTAATTTGAAGTTCTGCATTTTCCATGCAGATACCGGCATTGAAACAATTAGGGAGTTGCAATAAAGCATTCTTAGTCATGTACACCGTTTTGAGAATTTCCTACCTCAAATAAATAATAAAGATTACTTCCAATTTCATGCTATAAACATTATTGTGACATTGAATACATCAAATTGATAACACAATTTACGAACTTTCTACCTAAAATAAAAGTTAGAAGTTACTTCCAATTTCCATGCTATAAGCTTTATTGTGAAAATGAAGACATAAATTGATCACAGATGGAAAAGATATGCATGCATGCATGCACAGACACACACACACACACAAACCAAGCATAAATTACATTTAACTTTCTGCTTACATTACAGTGGTGCTTCATGATCAGAATGGCTACTAATGAAACCAAATCTTCAAGTTCAACAGGACAAAACAGCACAAGTACATAAACTAACCAGAAAAACATTGCAGCCAAATGTAAACCATGAACTTACACTTTCAGCCTCATGCCCAAATCCTGCAAAAATGTACAGTATGACTTGCGTAA